TAAACAGGGATTAAATGTCTTGCCTAGGGTCATATAACTAGTAAGTGTCTGAATGCAGATTTGAACTCAGGAAGATGAGTCTTCCTGATTCTTCTAGGCCTGTTACTCTATCCACTGCATCATCTAGGTGCCCTTAACCATGTCTAAGGTCTTTCTAATGTTTATCTAGGAAAATGCATGATCTAAAGTGATTTAATATTTGATTTTTTCCATATTCATATGTAAAGAGACAATAATATGGTGAAAAGATTGCTGAACTTGGGAGTCAAGAGAGACAAGGATTTTGAACCCTGACTCTAACATTTACTAGGTCTATGTCCTTGGGGAAGTCACCTCACTTCTCTGAAACTCAGTTTCTTCATCTCTAAAATGAGAGAGTTGAACCAGATCACCTCAAAGTTCCTTCCACCTCTACATTTATGTTCTTACACATATAGGAGTTGTTCTTCACCAGAATTATGAATCTGATTGCACTTGGATTCAAAGGCAAGACACAATTATTTTCCTTGTAATCTACTACATACAAATTGCAAATCATGCTTCTCCAAGAAGATTGAAACTTCACACTTTGTGGAAAGAGAGAAGTACAGTTTTAGTCATAAGGGAGTATTAAATGCTATTTAGAACAAGGAACTAGGTGTCCTGGGCTCCTTTCCCAGCACCGCTCTGTATAGCCTTGAATGAGTCACTGCATGCCTCTGAGAAAGTCTGATAAGTTGTCCTGCCTTGCAAGTGTTGGGAGGCTGGAGAAGATAAGTCAGAAGTCAGCATGCTCCTGACAATTGTCCCTCTCCCCCTACTTATCCTAAGAATATGTCAAAATGATTGGAAACCCAGAAAATGGAAGGTGGATTCAAAGTAGCAGAATGGAATTTGGGGCTCAAAATGACTTTGAGATCTTCATGGCAGAACTTGGTAAAACAGTTAAATAGTTTGGGGCCTGCCAAACTTTCCCAGTTATTGAAGTACAGGCAAGGGAGCAGATATGCAATTTGTCTGGTATGCTACTGCTTTCTGATAATCCATACCAGGTGCACCAGTGTCCTAGAAAATATCACAGATCAGTTTGATGGTCACAGACAAATTGTGAAGTATTATGCGTAGAATAATTCCACCCAGTGCCTAATGGAATTAAACTGGGGGAAATAGGGGTGTCTTAGCCAGTAGATCAATAGGGAATAGTTCACTGGGGGGAGGTTTGCCCAACCCTAATGTCAAGAAGTCTGAAGGATGACAAAGTTGCAGCAAGGATACAGTCACTTGCAAATAAATTGATTTACCATTGGCTCTCACTGAAATCTGGGGGGTAGAAAGGGTTGGGAGAAGAGACATGGAAGACCACAGAAGTGAATTTGAAGGAGAAAGAATGAATATTATTGTAAAGGTTTGAGCTACGGTCCCTATCCCTAGATGAGTATGTATGTATGTATGTATGTATGTATGTGCAGCAGAAGCAGCAGCAGTAGTAGTAGTAGTAGTAATGGTGGTGGTAGTAATAGTAGTAGTGGTAGTAATAGTCAACGAGCCTAAGGGATAAACCTAAGTAAGAAGAAATACCTACACTGGTACCTCATTTTTAGAGCTGAGAGTGAACCTTAAGTCTAGATCTACTGGTACCCAAAGGGAGCAGTGATTACCTTGAATGGCCAAGAGAGAACATAGATTAAGAGAAAATGCCAGCTAAGAACAATGTAGAGAGCATCAAAGCAAGGCCTGTGGTTGGAGCACGGCAGAATTCCTGGGTCAGTGGACCAAACATTGTGGGACTAGATTTCTTGGGACTTCCTTGGAAGATCACATGAAGAACCCTAGCATAAAAGGGTTACCCATGCTTGACTATAAGTAACACTGGAATATATTCAATGTGGAACCTTGTGAAACTGTGGTGTAGTGGGAAAGTTTACTGGATTAGAAGTCAAGATATGTGTATTCTAACCCTGGATCTGCCATTAGACCTGACCTGTGCTAATGATCTTGGACAAGACAATTCCCATGTATGGGTCATAGATTCCTTCTATGTAAATGGAGAAATTGAATTAGATGACTTTCCAGGTCCCTTCCTTGTCTAATACTTTCTGGTGCCATCATATATATATATATATATATATATACACACACACATATATATGTGCATGCATGTACGTATACACATACACATATAACATTTTACATACATTAACACATATAAAGCTAATAGTGTAATAATTCTCAATATTACACACCTAATTTTCTATTGTTTTTCTTCTGCATTGCATTAGCTATTTAGAAATATGAATGTCATAAGGGTAGGCATCTCTCGCTTTACGGAATATAAGCAATCCAACTTAAATGCACCCAGGGGTATGCTGGAGCCATTTTGGCCTGCCTCTCACACTGACTGTTAAATTTTCACTGTGAGCATTTATACCTTGATAATTGGCAAATGCTATAAATCAGGGTTTGATTTATTGTCTAGACTTAAGAAAGTGATGGAAAAATGTTAAGAATGCAGATTAAACTGAAAAGTGTATCATACATACATTCTACCACCACCATCCTCATCAAGTATTACCAGTACACTCCTGAATACTCTCAACTTATATATATATATATGTCTTAAACGGAGTTTGCTTACTTAACTACCTTTAGCAGTCAACAACAGACAACTTGCTACCTTTTAGCTGTTTAGAAGAGGATACTTAATAACCTGCAGGTTTCTGTTTAATTCAACAAACATTTTAGGATGAATATTTTTCAATCTTTTGTATGCCAAAAGACTCACTAATATTAGACGTATAATGTAAGCACGGTGGCCCTCACATGACTCAAAAGTTCTAGGTGTACTTTGGACAATTTCTCACTTCTCCAATAGATTGCTCTGGCTCAGAATTTGGGAAACTCACTGTTACTCCACAGTGTGTTATCATAGCTCCCCTTGGAAGCAAATAGTTTATAAAATTCAAGAAAAGTTTTATTTGTGGGATAGATAAGGCAACTAGAACTCAGTGAAAATAATGATACCCTCTAAAGAACAGCCTATGTCTAGAGACCTGTATGCTATTTGACCATACCATACCAGTCATTGGTGGTATTATTGTTATTGTTGTCATACATGACCAGTCATTTATGGTGTTATTATTCTAAGCCAGTGTTTCTCTAAGATTCCCGGTAAGTAGCTCCTCCTGAAACTCTCCATAGCTCTCATTAGGTGATGTTAGTGCCACATCCCACGACACTCCTGTATTTTTCTAATACACATCTAAAAGATGTGTCCATATTGCTCTTTGTTCTCTGTCTCAGAGCCTGCTCCAAGTCAAAGAAAATAAGTAAAACTCACGGACAACAGTGTGACCCACAAAGGAGTTTTGTACCTCTGGTGTTGCTAGCTTTTTTTCTTTTCAGTGGAAAAATTCTTCTCTTTTATAAACCCCTCACTGGTACTGCAAGGGGAAAAGCACAAGAATTTCCTTGTCTTATGTTCTACTTCATTTGTAGTTCAAATATAGCGCCAGATAGGGGCACCTTGACTCTGGAGGCTCTTACTTGCTTTGTAGTTCCTGCCCATCTCTAGGTCACTTGGGAGTTAGGAAAACATTTTACTCTTATCTCTGAGCTGGTATTGGTCACTGAAAAAAGGTTGAGACACAGTGAGAAGCCTGACAAAGCACCCCAATTTCTTTCCAATTATCTTTGAAATTCCTTCAAGCCTCCCCAAGTACACATTGGTGGGGTTATTCAGTTCACCTGGGGATGCTTCCTTGCCTTGTCCGGGAAGACTAGACCAGGAAAGTCTTTTACTACTACTACTACTACTACTACTACTACTACTACTACTACTACTACTACTACTGCTGCTGCTGCTGCTGCTGCTGCTGCTGCTGCTGCTGCTGCTGCTGCTACTACTACTACTACCACCACCGCCACCACTACTATTAAAATATTGGAAGGAAGAGAAGAAAAAGAAAGAAGGAAGGAGGGAGGGAGGGAGAAAGGAAAGGAGGAAGAGAAGAAAGAGAGGGAGGAAGGAAGGAAGAAAGGAAGGAAGGAAAAAGGGAAGAGGGAAGGAAGAAAGAAGGGAAGGAAGGAAAGAGGGAAAGAAGGAAGAAGAGAGGATGGGAAGAAAGGAAAGAGGAAGGGAAGGAGGGAAGAAGGGTGAAGGAAGGGGGGAAGAAGAGAGGGTGGGAAGGAGGAAAAGAAGGAAAGAAGGGAGGGGGAAAGAGGGAGAGAGGGAAGGAAGGAAGGAAAAAAGAAAAGAAGGAAGAAAGGAGCAAAGAAAGGAAAAAGGAGTGGGAGGGAAAGAGGGAGGGAGGGAGGGAAGGAGAGAAAGAAAAGCTCAGTTTATTTTTTTTAAGGGAGGGTTTTGTTGGTCTTATGGTTGAGGCAAAGGCTGTTGCTTTTATTACAAGAATTATAAATTAAGCTTAGGGATTTAAACTGCAACAGCACGGCAGAGCCCATTCTTCTCACGAAGAATAAATGACACCATGGCCAAGAACTTCCACTGAAGCCAAAAGCTGGGCCCAAGGGAACTCGTCGCTGCCACAGGCCCAGAATCTTGTGGAAGCTCTGAGTGCGCCAGTGCTGTCTGGCAGAGCCAATGAGACGAGCTCAGCGTGATGCCATCATCAGAACCCAGTGGCCTCCCGCTTTGGCGGTGTGAGTTGAGCCTCCACACACGCATGCACTCACAACTCAACAACAACAACAACGAGCCCTCTTTGGGGGACTAATCCACCTGTGAGTCAGTAGGGAGGGAGAGGGTGGCACTCAGATGCTCCAATGATAATAATGAACATAGAGGCTTTCAAAGTACTTTATATGCATCACCTTATTTGATCCTTGTGGAAGGCTTATAAAGCAGGTCCAGTGTCCTAGATTTGGAGTCAGAGGGCTTGGGTTCAAATCTTAACTCTGCTACTTACCACTTGTATATTAAGGCAGTAGCTAGCGGTACAGTGGATGGAATGAGTCAGAAAGACCTGTGTTCAGATTTGGCCTTAGACACTTACTGGCCGTGTAACCCTGGGCAAGTCACTTAACCGCTGTCTGCTCCAGTTTCTTCACCTGTAAAATAAGGATAATAATAGCACCTATCATGAAGGGTTATTATGAAAATTAAATGAAGTAATATTTGTTAAAGAAACACTTTGCCCAGTTCCTGGCACATACTAGGTTCTTTATTCCCTTTTTTTCCATTCCCTTTCTGTTGGGTAAGTCACTTTGGCCTCTCCGGGCTGTACTTTTCTCTTCTGTTAAATGAGGCAATTCAACAGGGTGACCTTTAAGGTCCATTTCACCTCTAGATCTCCGGTCCTATGACTGTATGACCCCATTTTACAGGTAAAGAAGCTGAATCTCAAATCTCTGGCAGATACGCCATGGGCTAAATAAACATTTGTGACCTGACCTATACACCTAATCACCACGTATAACATAATTTCTATTGGAAAACCTATTCTTAGTTCCAAATGACTGATTTCCAAATGAGCTTTTTAAACTTGTGCTGGTAAAACCTACTTTATCACATATATAAGTAAGATGACAGCCTGGGAAACGAATTTTAATTTTCATTGGAGACATATTTAGAAAGAAAGTAAATCTCTCAATGAACTGAGCATAGAATTTTTGGTTAGGAAGGTGTTCAAACTGTGGCTAGCTCCTCCAACTCCTCGGCCCCTCAGACTTTGTCATACACCAACAATATCCATTACTTCCAGGAAGATTTCCCTGATAACTTGTGAAAAATACTTCTTTTCAAGGCCATTGTTATAAGTGTAATATTAGCACAAGCTGATAAAACAAAACAAATGCCTAAAAATTGACTCCCCATCTGTGATATATGTATCACTCTCCCTCTGTGTAAATTGTTCTAATGCATGAAGGTGGGAAAGGGAAACTGGGTTTGGAAACCAACAAGTAGTCTAGTTGGGCTAAATGGCAAGTTAACAAAAGGGATTAAGGTGAAATAAGGCTCAAAGTGCTGACTAAAGCCGAGATGCAAGGCTAGTGAGTCTGTATTTTTTCTTAAAGGAAGTAGAGAAGACAGGAGTGACATGGCCAGACCTGCATTTCAAGAAGAGTATTTTGGCATTTGTGTAAAGGATGAATTAGAGTGGGGAGAAACACCTAACTATGTTAGTTGCTAGGAATCCAAAGATGAAAAATGACACAATTTCTATCCTCGGAGAAGTTATAGTTTCTTTCTATCTACTGGTTCCCTACTTATCTGCTGCCTATACACATTTCCATATCTCCCCTATCTATAAAAAAGAAACAAAAAAACCCCCCAACCTCCCTTGATCCATTCATCTATGATAGCCACATTTCTCTCCCCCCTCACCTTGGCTAAATTCCTAAAGAAAGCCATCTACAATGAGTGCTTTCACTTCTGCTCTAATTTTCTTCTAAACCCTCTGCAATCTGACTTCCAACCTCATCATTCCACTGAAACTGCCTTTTCTAAAGTTATTAATGATCTTATCTTTTCATTGTCAAATCTAATGCCTTTTCTTAATTCTGATTTTCCTTGACCTCTCTGTCACATTTGATATAGCTGAACCCCTTCTTCTGGATACTCTCTCCTCTCTATGTTCTTGTGATACTGCCCTCTCTTCTCTTGTATTATTTGCTGGATCTTTCTCCAGGTCAAGCCTACTAACCATGAATTGTCCCCAAGTCTCTGTCCTTCATCCCTTTCTCTTTTGTTCTACATCATCTACATTTGCTCTACATTATATTGTTTGTAGAGCTCATCTACTCTCATGGATCTAATTACTATGTTTAGGCAGAGGGTCCTAGATCTTTCCTGAACTCTACTTCTGCATTATCAACTGCCTTTTGGATATTTTGGTCATAGGCATTTCAAATTCAACCCCCAAAACAGAACTCATTCTATTCCCCTTCCCTAAAACTTCCCCTTCTGAATTTCTCTATCACAGTCTAGGATACCACCATCCCCAAAGTCATCCAGATATGCATGTAGTCAATCTACTTTATTTTTACAGCATCTCTCATCCATATACATCCTCTTCTCTCTACCCACAAACATCCTCCTCCTTTAAGTACTCATTACTTCTTGTCAGGACTATTGCAATACCCCTCTAATTGGTCTCCCTACTTCAACTCTCTTCCCACTCCAATTCATCCTCCACACAGCTACCAAAGGAATTTCCCTAAGTCTGACCATGTCACCACAGTTACCTGCTTGATCAGATATATCTCATCCTCTGATGAGCATTTAAAGTCCTTTATAAGCTGGCCTCTTCCTGGTTTTCCAGTCTCCTTACACCTTACTCCCACTCCCTACATACTCTATAATCCAGCTCACTAGCCTACTTTCAATTTCTTGAACAAGAAATCTCCAATCTCCATGCCTTTGTACTATTTGTTCCCATTGTTTGGAAAGCTCTGCCCCCTCACATCCATCTCTTAGTTTCTTTGGCTTCCTTCAATCCCAAATCCTACATTCTGCAGGAAGTTTTTCCTGATTCCTGGGGCTATCAAAGTCTTCTCCTTTCAGATTATCTTCATTTCTTTTGCATATATCTTGTATGTTTTTAATTATTTGCATGTTGTCTCCCCCAATAGAATGTATGCTCCTCGAGGGCAGAAGCTATTTTTTGCTTTTCTTTGTAAACCCAATTCAGTGCTTGGTACTTAACGAGTAGTCATTGAATGGCTAATATGGAAATGTTCTGCATGACTTCACATGTATAATTGATATTGCTTGCCTTCTCAATGGGGGAGTGTGGGGCTGGAGGGAGGGAGAGAATTTGGAACTCAAAATTTTTAAAAAGAATGCTAGAGTAAATATTAAAATTTTAAATGTTATTATTGATTGACAAGTTACTTAGAGAGGGGTGGGGGAAATGATATATACACATTATATTTATTCAGATCAGTATAATGCAAGGTAGAATGTGATAAGGAGATATGGAGAAAGGAGACACCTCTAGACAAATTACTCTACAAAAATTTGAGCGTAGAGATATAACTTTTTGCTGAGTGGGTTAGAGTGCTAAGGGGAACGCAGGATGATCAGAGAAGCCTTCATGGAAGAAGTCATACTTGAAGTGGACTTAAAAGAAGAGAAAGATTTTAACAGACAGAGAAGTGTGGGTTCCAGTCATGGGGAGCTAGCCGATCAAAAATAATGGAGGCAAGAAAGGGCAGGATGAGATCAGATTATACCACTTTATATCATAGGTCTGCAACTTCAGTGTCCTCCAATCTATTGCTAAATCTTGTCATTTTTACTTTCACATCATCTCTCATACACACCCTTTTCTTTGTACTCACACAGATATCCCTCCCCTTTGAGCCCTGTTATCACCTCTTGCCATGACTATTTTAATAGGGATATAATGTGAAATAAGGCACAAAATTGGGTATGTCATATTCTGAAGGGTCATAAATGCAAGAACTTTGCCTTTTATCCTACGGAAAATAAACAACTATAGAAGTTTTTGAGTAGTAGCCTGATAAGGTATTTCTTTTGCATTGGGAAAATTATTTTGGTAACTATGTGGAGGATTGGTTAGAGAGAAGGGTGTGAGGCAGAGAGCCTGGGTAGGAGGCTACTGTAGTATTTGAGGTGCAAAGTCGTAAAGGTCTGAGGTAAGGTGGCAGCAATGGAAACTGAAAAAAGGGACAGATTTAAGAGAAATTCTAGAGATAGAATCAACTGACTTTGAAAATGGATGGGATATGGAGGGTGAAGAAGAGAAAAGTGTAAAAAATGACTCCAATGTTTGAAGCTTGAGAGTGACTGGGAGGATGGTATGCCTTCAACAGAAATTGAGAATTTAGGAGGCTTAGGTTTAAGTGGAAGATGATTTCAGTTTCGGCATGTTGTAATATAGGTGGCAGCTAGATTCTCCTCCTGTATTATAATCTATTTAAAGGTACGTGGCCCATCTCAAACATACTCTAAAAATCGCTATAAAACTATGTGTTACCCTGTCCATGGATTAAAGGATCAGCTCAAGTCTTTCCTTCTCCATGTAGCTTTTCTTAACCATTCTAGCCCATAAGGCTGAATTCTCTATACTACTCATTTGGAATTTAATAATCAGTAATACCTCTGTTAATGGATTGGCTAGATTCCAATAATACACTTTATTGTCAGAAACCCTATTATCAGAGTTAGAAATAATATAGGAGATGCTGGGATTCATTACAAAATGCAAATTCCTTACCTGCTATATCCCGCTGGGATGTAATACTCCCACCTTCTTTGATATTCCAGTGAGACAGGTTATAGCTCCTTAGCTGAGCTCCCATCTCTTTCAGAGATACAAAGGCCACATATGACGAATGCCTGGGGGGTAATAATAACTCATATATTGCACAGTACTTTAAGGTTTATAGAATACTTTACTCACAAGGTAAGGAAAACTTTATTAGCCCGATTTTGTAGATGAGAAATTTACAGCTTCCAAGAATATTGCCTTTCCTTTCACTGAGCCTAGCCTTGGGTCAATCCTTGAAGGGCTAATATCTAAGACAGCCACTTTCTCCCCAGCTACCTCACCCCTAAGGCAGGACAAGTGAGACTGGAAATTCCCCATTCTACTCTCAGAATCATAGAATTTCAGAATGAGGAAGGACCTCAAAGACCACCTAATAATAATCGACACCTACAGAAGAAGTACTAGCCTTTACTTAAAGACGTCTATTAAAGAGAAGCCTATTATTTCCCAAAGTATCCCATTTCACTTTTGGATAGCCAGAACTGTTAGGAACTTTTTCCTTACAGCAAACCTAAATTTTCTTCTTGGAATTTCCACTTATTATGTTTAATTCTGTCTTCTGGGTTCAAGAAGCACAAAAAATAATTTGTCCCTTCATGACTGACCATTAGAAGATTATCCTGTTGAAGAAACATAAAGGAAATAGCATGTTTATGGGGACAAAGTCCTTAAAGATAACTAGTGTTTTAGAGGATTTGGAATTCAAAGTGATTTTGACAAATTAGAGCGGTGATTATTAATAATTCAACAAATTCAAAACCTTATGCCAGGCTGTAGCTACAAAGAAAAGAAACAGTGCCTGTCTTAAGAATCTTTCATTCTACTCAGGGAGCAGGCTCAGAGTGGTACAATGTGTACAAATAAGGAGAGTAGGGAGGGAACAAGCATTTATTACGAACCTATCAGGTTCTAGGAACTTTACACATATTATCTCCTTTGATTCTTATGACAACTCCGGGAGGTAGACGCTATTTATATGTCCATTTTACAGTTAAGGAATCTGAGACAGACATAAGTGATTTGCCCAGGGTCATACTGACAGTAAGAGTCTGAGGCCACATTTCAACTCAGGTTTTCTTGATTTCAGGCACAGTTCTCTACCTACTGCACTGCAGTAGGTCTCCAAATGGTAAACATAAAAAAATACATACAAAGTAATTTCAGGATGGGGAAAGCACTAACAGCTGCATGGATCAAAAAAGGCCTCATGTAGTTAGCACCTGAGCTAAGTCTTGAAAGAAGTTAGGGATTCTAAGAAGCAAAAGTGAGAAGGATGTTCATTCTCGGAATGGAAGACAGACTTTGAGAAGGATTTTGAAAAGGGAGATAGAATGTCATATACAGGGAAAAGCAAATGGGCCAAGTTAGCTGGACCACAGAATACATGAATGGGAGCAATGTAAAATAAGTTTAAAAAGGTAGGCTGATGCCAGATTGTTCGGGCTTTAATGCCAACTAGAGAAGTTTGCATTTTATTCTAGAGGTAATAGGGAACCTCTGAAAATTCTAGAGCTGCAGATTATTTTAGCAAGATTGTTTTGGTAGCTGTGTGGAGGATGGGTTGAAGAAGGGAAAGATTAGAGGCAAGGAGACCAATTAGGAAGCTATGGTTATAGATATAAAAAAAGAATTATTTACTTAGAATCATCTTCCATCTCCTCCAAACACATACACAAATATAAAGGAGTTGGAAGAACGAGGTAGACACCAGAATAGAATAATATTTAGAGCACAGACTGGATTTTTGAAGGTATTATTATTATTATCCTTTGAAAGCACAGTAAACAAAGGAAAATCTTTTATGGTATTTTGAAAGTTAGTATTATATGCAAATGTGTTATCAGGCATAGAACATGTATGAATTATAAAGCTATCTTCCCACTATACTGTTAGGCTCTTATCCAGCACCCGGTTTTGTTATACATATTTTAAGAGGGATTTTAATTAGGTAAAACAACAAATTAAATTTTAATATGATGCTATGATTTGTCCTATAAAGAAGGAAGCTATAGTTGACCTACTAACTGTCGTTAAGTTTATGAAATGTTATATGAGGCATTCAATTCCACAAGCATTTAATAAGGGTCTACTATGTGCAGGGCATGGTGGTAAGCCCTGAGAATAGAACAACAAACTAAAACAGTCCCTGACTTCAAGGGGCTTACATTCTACTGTGGGATACAACATTTAGATGGATAAATAAATAATATGCCATTTGAGGAAAAGAAAGCATGCTCTTTAAAGCCATCTACTTTCCATCTAGGAAGTTAGGAAACATTCAGAAAGCATTTGCTATTGATTAGGAGACTCAAAACTCATTTAAATCACAGCAAGAAAGGCTTTAAATAAAAGAAGGAAACACTGACTATGAATAGTTAAAACAGGAATGGAATCAAGTTCAGTGGAGATTTTGGAAAACAGGATAATCATCTGATTAAAGCAGCAGAGTCCTCCAGAAAGACATCTTGAGACACATTTTTGGACTTGGCCAGTATGGGAATTAATTTTGCTTATCTATGCTTATTTGTTATAACTTTTTTTTCTTTTTCTTTTTCAGTAGGATGGGGAAGGTAGGAGGGAGGAAAAATGCTTATTAATTTTTTTATTAAAAAAACCCAAAAAGACCTCTTGAACACCTGGTTTTTACAGAAAATATAGAGCAGTAATTTATTTTTAACCTTGTGACAGTAGGCTCTGTTGACCCTAGTAGTGATTCTTTAACAAATTATGCAGATGGGAAATCTGCATTTGCATCATCAACTAACGTTCATTGATTCATACAGTGCCCAGAGGCTGCTACCAACTCTAGTGTCTGATTCAGTTAGTCCACTTGGTTAGGATGTAGTCCTAATAAGGTCAAGGTCATAGGTTCAATCTCATTTTGGGATTCAAATGTGAGCAAAACCTGTGGCTCATGGCCTTAAGTTGAATTTCCCAAACCCAGCCACCATCCTTACAAATATCTGTTTTAATCAGGACTTGAGAAAGGCAGTAGATAACTTAGTACAAACCTCATCATTACAGGAAAGACAGCTTAAAGGTCAGCAGCATCCTCTTTCTATATGAAAGAAAACATTCATGTGTTACGAAATGAGTTAAGGAGGTAAAAAAAAACCCAATAATAATAAAAGGGAGAGGAATCAGAAAATTTAAATCCCCTAAATTTCCGGGGGGAATTCTGCTATGTAACGGGAGTTTTTGAAATAATTCAGCATTTGTTTTCATTTCTTGGATTTTTCTCTTCTGTCCCATCTAATGTTGGTACTTCCTAGCTTGGTGTGCTGCTGCTGGGTGGGGGCCAGAGCCAGCTCATTCCTTCTTGTCATGTTATCAATATCCATCTTCTTGAACTTCTATACAAATGTAGCAAATGTGTCCATTAAAAATCAGACACTAATTGCTTGTGGAATCTTACAGAATTTGAACTTAAGCCCCTTAAGAAAGCTTTGTGTGAAAGGGCTGGACAGAGAGTTGCATGGGACAAGAGTGTGGGCTGACATCTTTTTAATGCATTCTACCATGTGATCAAAGGAATAACAACAGCACTTTTTACCATGCAACCTTACCTTGCAAATGATCAAGTGCTTTGGTCTATAGGGCAGACTTCCAGATTAAATTCAATTCAAAAAGTATTTATTGGGTACCTACAAAGATAGTGTGGTGTTGTAGAGGGTACACTGGATTTGGAATTAGAGGATTTCTGAATCCTGGATCTGTAACTTCCTACTTGTGTGACTATGGGGAACCAGAGGGACGAGCCGGGTTCCTAATCTAGATAAGTGGGAGATGGAAAACATGATGGAGATCACAATGGGAGAAACAGGATAAACACAAGGAAGTGAGGCTATGGGAGTTCTGAAAAAAGAGATCATCAGAATAATCAAAATTAAAGGTTGCTTAACCTTTAGGCTTCACCTACAAAATGAGATTAGATAAGATCACTTCTAAGATCTTTGCCAGCTCTATCTACCATCCTGTGATTGTGACTAGGGGGGAGAGAGGGAAGAAATAGGACATGATATCCATCACAGAATGATCCAATCTAAGAGCTGGAAAGGATCTTAGAGATCATTTAGTCCAACTTCATCATTTTACTGATGAAGAAACTGAGACCCACACAGGTGACATGTCTTACCTAAAGCCACACAGGTCACTAGAGCACTGGACTTACAGTCAGAAAGATCTGGATTTAAATTCTGATTCAAACTTTTTATTAGCTGTGTGACTTCAGGCAAATCATTTACTCTTTCTCAGCCTTACTTTCTTTATGTATAAAGTGGGAATTTCATTGGGTTACTGTGAAGATCAAATGAGAAAATGTACATAAAGGGTTTTGCAAACTCAGCATAATAGGAGCTATTATAACTATCTAAGCTTTTTTTGGTCTCCAAATCCAGCAATGAGCACTCTGACCTTAATATATAACACTCACAAGAGGCTTATGATCTAGTTGGAAGCAGTGGCGAAACATATCAACCAATTAGAGAGCAGTATAAAGACAGTAACACAATATTCAACTGAACTTAATGAAATGCTAAAATATATGGCATTCACCTAATAAGAACAATTATGCTATGATATTCACGTGAATGAAAGAGAACAGCAGCGCAGTCTAACATAGTAAATAATGTAAAACTCATTCAATGCTTTGCAATGCATGATGGGATAGGAGTGGTAAGGAAGATGAGACCAAGGGGTAGGGGTAGGAGTGGGGGGGGGGGCAATAGATGAAGGGAGAAGACCACAGCATGACTTGCAAAATGTCATCATCTTCATTCTCGGGAATCACTCCTATCAGACTATCACTTATCCAGCCATCATTCTAATTCAAGCCAACACCACCTCTAGCCTGGACCTCACCTTTCCCCAGTCCAATCCATCTTTCTAACAGCTGCCAAGTGATTTTCCTAAAGTCTGATAATAAGTCTGATAATGTCACTCTCCTGCTCAATAAACTCCAGTGGCTCCTTATTACCTTTAAGATCAAATGCAAACTCCTCTGTTTGGCTTTTAAAGTCCTTCTTAATCTGTTCACAACCTATATTTCCAAGCTTCTTAAAGTGTATTCCCTTTCAAGTAATGTCCAGTCAAACTGGCCTTATTTTTTCTTCACACTCAACGTTCCATCTACCCTCTTTATGGCTGGAATGTAATACTGCTTAGAATCCCGGGTTTCATTGAAAACTTAGGTGAAGTGCCACTTGCACTTGAAGCCTTTCCTGACCCTCACCCCTCCTCCTCCATTGCTACTGCTTCCCCCCAACCCCAGGAAAATTTTTAAAATTTATTTTGCATCTCTCTGTCTCTCTCTCTTTCCTCATGTTGCCTCCCCTTACAGAACGTAAGCTTCTCGAGTCTGGGGACTGTTTTCATTTCTCTCTTTATATCCCCAGCACTTAGTACAGAGCCCAGCACACAGTGGGTGTTTAATATACTTGCAGATTTTTGACTATCAGCTGGAAGAAGGGCCTAGAAGTGGTGCTAGACAACTGCAGGGTAGGGTATTCAGGGAATAATATTGTCCGTGTTAAAGCACACAGCGGATACTCTGCAGGCAGCAGAATCGGCAGGACCCCACGCTAAAGACCACCGGCCCCGCAGGGTAGGTCCACTTCTGGCCTGAGAATTCTGGGGTAAACTTCTGTATTAGGAGGCGTCCAGGATCGGAGGTGGTCGACATGAAAGAAGTCTTACACACAAAGAAACAGAGAAATTCAATTTCTCTCCCCGGGTGGCAAGGCTAACAATATTTTAGTCCCTTCCCTTAGGTCCCCTCCCGGGTAAAGAAATCCCCGGGTCCTTCGTCTGCAGTAGGTCTTCAGAAGCCTACTCAGCTTAGAGTACTCACGCCAAAACCTTGCGCATCTCTGAGCTGGGGAACGCCCGAAGATCACGGAGGGACTACAAGTCCCATGGGCCCCCGGGGCGCGGGTGGTGATGACGAAGACCCCCAGGATTGGCCGAGCGGGGCGTGGCGCGCAGGCTGGCAGAGGAGGGGCTGGGGCGGGGCGAGCGGCCCCCCTGAGGCCACACCCCCGCCCTCCGCCCCCCATCCCCTCAGCTCCCTCCCCGGTCAGAGGGACAGAGCGAGAAGATGGCGAAGACGTACGATTATCTCTTCAAGCTGTTGCTGATCGGAGACTCGGGGGTGGGCAAGACCTGCCTCCTATTCCGCTTCTCCGAGGACGCTTTCAACACCACCTTCATCTCCACGATCGGTGAGGGGCCGCAGGGGCTGGGGAAGGGATGGGTGGGAGGGAGGGAAGGGGGGGACAGCAACTAGAAATGCGGGGGGAGACCCTGGGGGACGGGGCGGGGAGACCGAGGGGACGTGGGGCAGGGAGAGACCGTGGGGACGGGGCGGGGAGAGGAGAGAGAGGGCACAGGGAGACACCCTGGGCGACGGGGTGGGAAAAGAGGGGACGGAGAGAGAGGGGACGGGGGAGACCTTAGGGGACGGGGGAAAGCGAAGAGAGGGGATGGAGGGGGAGCAGAGAGGGCAAAGGGGGAGGAGAGAGAAGGGGGACAAGTGGGGAGATCCAGGGGGATGGCGGGAGGAGATAGAAAGGACAAGGAGAGAGGAGAGGGGACGAGGGAGGGGACAGGTGTGAGGAGAGGGGCAAGGGAGAGACCATGGGAGACAGTGGGGAGCATAGGGGGACAAGAGAGGAGACCACAGTAGGATAGAAGGGAGGAAAAAGAGGGGACAAGAGGGAAGACCATGAGGGATGGAGGGAGAGAGGGGGTAAGGAAGCAAGGGAGGAGACCATAGTGGGACAGAGGTGAGGAGAGAGAGGGAACAAGGGAGGAGATCATGGAGGGTGGTGAAGAGTAGAGGGAGCAGAGAGGGGTATATGGGGACGAAGGGTACAAGAGAGGAAACCAGAGGGGATAAAAGAAAGGTGAGGGGGGGACCAAGGGAGAGACCGTGGGAGGACAGGATGGAGGAGAGATGGGGAAGGAACATGGTTCAAGGGAGGAAATCATGAGACAGGAGAGAGGAGAGAAAGGGGATATGGGGGACACTATGGATGGACAGGAGGGAAGAGTCCAGGGTGGGGACTGGGGGAAGTAGAGAGATGAGAGGACAGGAGCAAAGAAAGAGAAGACTAGGAGGAAGAGAATATAGTAGAAAAGGAGGAAGGGAAGAGGAGCATGAAGGGAACAGGAGGGAGGAAAGAAAAGACATGGAGGAGTCAGGAGGGAAGAAACAGAAGGAAGTTTGAGACAGGAGGGAGGAAAGAGGGGATGTGGGGAGATAAGAGGAGAGGACAGGAAAGAGAACATGGGAAAAGGGAGGGAACATCAAGGTGGAAGTGAGGGGGCAGGAGACACATGAAGGAGTACAGGAAGAAAAGGAATGTGGGGTGAGAAAGAAGATGGTAAAAAGGGGCATGGGGAACAAGGAGGATGGGAGGGAGGAAGGACAAGAGAGGAGAACATGAAGGAGGAAAGAATGGGGTATAGAGAAGACAAAAGGGGATGTTGGGGGGATAGGAAGGAGAGGGATATGATTAGGGAAAGAAGGGAATAAACGGGAACAAGAAGGGAACAGAAGAAAATAGAGCATGGGGAGGGACATAAGAAGGGTACATGGAGGAAGAGGAAGGATTTGGAGTGAACAAGCAGAAAATGGGGACAAGAGAGGAGATAGGACAAGAAATGGGAAAGAAGGATGAGAGAAGAGGGAACATGGGGGATATGAGGGAGTAGAGCATGGAGATATCATGGGAGGAGACCAAGGAGGCAGAAGAGGGAGGGGTAAATGAAGATAGGAAGCAATGAGAGGAAGTCAAAAGAGGGACCTGAGAAGACAGGAGGAAAACATGGGGGAGTGACTGGAGGGTGGAGGAGGGAGGGGAAAAGGAAACCAGAAATATGAGAGGGGTAAACCTTGAAGAGGGGAGCATGGAAGGAATAGAAACATGGTTAAGGGAGGAGAACAGAATAGGGAAGAAGGGAACTTTGTGAGTATGGGAAGAAGGTTAAATTAAGGAGAAGGGGAGAGGGTGAAAAGGGGGTAAGAGGTTTGAAGAAAGAGAATGAGGCAGTACAGGAAGAGGAAAGTAAAGGGGGAAAATGGGTGGCAGGAGAAGACAGAAATAGACTGGAGGAGAGAGGAGCCAAGTTAGAGGGAGACAGGAAAGAAGAGAGCAATAATGGGGTAGGAAAAAGGATGAAAATGGGAAAGTGGAATATGGAGGGAGAATGTAGGAACAAGAGGAGACTGAATCTAGATAAGTGTTGGGGAGTGGAGAACTGAAAGAGATCAGAATAGGGAAATGGAGTAAAAAGGGGGGAATGGGGCTATGAGAGAGTCCTGGAGAGAGGGATCACTGGAGCAAGAAAAATTAGGGTGGGAGTATAGAGAACAAGTGGAGAAGGAAAGAAATGAGGATAAAGAATAGGCTAATAGGAAAAAGAGACAGTAAAAATAAAATCAAAAATGGAAAGTAAATGTGAAGAAATTGGGGGAGAAAATATGAGAGTCTTGGAGAAGAAATGGAAAGGAGTAGGGGTGCTGGATTCTTTTCATAGTAGCTTCCACTTCCCTGTGCTTTTACTTCTTTTGGATGAAATGTAAGGGAGAAAGATATAAACATGGACAGTGGAATGATTTAATTTTTTATTGATACTAAGTATTACATTGTTGTAACTGAAGGAATTTGTGACTTTTCCTTTTCTGAAGCTACACCTTCAGGTTTTTACTTTTGTTTGTTTTTTAAAATTTAGATGTTCATTAACTTCCTAGCCAAAGAATGTTATCTTATGCTCTTTTCTCCTTAGCTCTGCTGCATATCTTTCTGTGGTTTTCATAATTACTTGTTAAATGTATTACAACATGCTGTTTACCTCAGTTGGTGACCTCTAATTGATTTGACAAGGGTTTTTTGGTTTTGCTGGAAACTGACCTTGTAACTTTGCTACTGGTAGCCATTGTGTTTTCAGGTATGTAGCAATATATGTAGCAGTCTTGCTACAAACTTCATATTAGAATTAAAGCTGATTTTATGCTGGGTACAGAGTTGGCATTGCTTTCATTTTTCTTATTAAACAAGTACCTGAGTAAGAAACAACTATGGTTTTCCTAGTAAATTAATCTGTCCACTTCAAAGCCTTATTAGTATGTCATTCTTACATATATGAATATAGTACTTATAACTTGTTTCATAATGAGTTACTGGATTAGGAACCACCACGAGAGGTACTTTTGGGGAGGGTATATTTGAGTCATCCACCTTTATGGTTTTTATCTCTACATGTGGTTTAAAAATAACTATTTTGTCGTATTTTATAAGCCAAATATTATTTTTTAAAAATTAGCTCATTTGCCTCCTAATTTTCATATGGACTTGATCAGGGGTGGGGAACCTGCGGCCTCAAGGCCACATGTGGCCCTCTAAGTCCTCAAGTACCATCCTTTAACAGAATCCAAACTTGACTATCTAAACTCATGAGGTGTTACAGTTTAGGGAAGTTTGGGCTGCTGATTCTTAATATGTGTGAGACAAAGTACAGTCTTCATGGGGTTTTTTCTTTTCTGAGGAAGCAATGCCATCCTTCACATGTTTTCATAAGGGGTTTTGTAGGAGCTGATATACAAACTAAAAGGAGTTAAGGTCTTAGGATGTTACTAATTTCAAAACTATAAAACACTCCTTTTTTTCTTTGTTGAGGGTATGCTCTTGCCTATAGAGAGTATAGTTAAGTTGAGTATCATATTGTTTCCTCATCTCCTTTAAGGTTGAAGGGAACAGAATCCATCAGTACTTTACAGATAAATTCCTCAGACTATGTTTGTTTGTTTTTACTTGCTCTTTTTTTGTTCCATTATTTTTATTTTCATTATGTTTCATATGTTTATCATAAGGATATCTATGAGTTGCTTTTATTTCCCTTTAAAATAATAGTTTCACAAAATACTTTTCATTGTGAAGAATTTTAGTATTTGCTTCTGAAAAAAATCTATTTTTAAATTGTTGAAATACAACTTCTGTGGAGGGTAGCATTTATTAAAGTCATTCATAGTAGTTCCATGTAACAGTTTAGGGAGAGAAGCAGGAATAAAATTGAGTCTTCTCTCATTGGATTTTAGATCTCATATTGTCCTTGAAATGTATAGGTAAGAGGGGGTGACCTGACAGAAAGTAACAAATAACAGTCTTTTGAAACAGCAGACGAATTTAGATTCCATGAAACCTTATGAAATCGCATGTGTATGTGGGTGTGGTAAGACTAGCAATCTTCGGTAAAAAGTACCAAGTCTTCTGTAATCACAGGTATAAGAGTGGAGTTGATGGAGTTTTTAGCAACAGTACTCTAGCTAAGGCTGGGCAAAAGGTTTATATTAGAACAGATAAAGGAGACTACCTCCTACCTTTATGTAGGAGTCATTGCTATTTTCCTAAAAACTTACGTGCACTTTGTGAGGTTTTCTGTCAGAGTTCTGAGGAGCATTGCCACAGGCTTCCTAATGAAACTGAGTAAGATCCAAACTACTGTCATTCCTTGGAAAGAATCATCTCTTCCTCTCAGACTTCTTTACACCAGGGAGTGACTTAGTTTTTAGTACATGCATCAACCAGCAAGCACTTATTAAGTGCTGAGTGTGTGCCCATAATCATGTGGGAGATAAAAAAAAAAGAAAGAAAGAAAAGAAAAATGATCCCTACCCTCTTGTGGTTGGCAGTATAGTTTTGGAGACAATACATATCAGTGTAATTTCCCTATGTTGAACTCCTCACCCCATGCTATTTATTTATGTTTCCATATTTAGTAAGTAATCGAAATCTACCTCTACTTAGAATCATAATATAGATTTTTCCAGTTGGAAGGATTCTGAGATACCATTTAGTGCAACCTCTTCATTTTATAAATGAGAAAACAGAATGAGAGTGAAGTGATTTGTCTGAGTAGCCCAGCTGGAAATCAAGAACCTAGGTTTCTCCACTCACCATCCAGAACTTTCATCTGAGCATTTATGGTGATTCAGGACCTCTCTTCATAGGACAAGGAAAATAGCACTCTAGGTCAGGCTGCTAACTTTTTCCAGTTAGGAAGTTAGAATTTAGATAAATCTTATATTTGGAAATTTAAAATATTCCTGTTTGCATCAGTTGACTCAATTTGTTCAGGGAAATAGTTAATGTTAATTTAACAGAGTTAGCCTAGCATGTACCTGTACTTTGCTCACTCTTTTGCTTATTTATTGTGTTCC